AAGGCACCACTGGCCACGGGCACGGGCTGCTGCGGTGACCTCCCCTGGCACTGCCTGGCCACGTGGGTTGGCTCCAGTCTCGGAACTGTCCCCAAAGCAAGAAAAGAGGTGGCCAGCAGCCCTTCGGGGCCGTTGCCTCCCTCCTTGCCTTGGCCAGGACGAGCACATCATCTCCCCGCAGGTGAAGTTTATCCATGACCAGTGCTCCCCCAAGCCCAAATACCGGGGCTTCTTCCACGGCGTCCGGGAGATCGTTCGGGAGCAGGGTGAGTCCCAGGGAAGCGATGTCCTGTCTCCCTCCAGTACCCCCATGCTGGGGGGAAGGGGTGGGAGGTGGGGTACGAGTGCAGGCTGGGACCAGCTGCCTGGGGAGGTTTTTTGCTGGTGTTCCCCTCCAATTCCCTCCCTTGCTGCAGGACTAAAGGGGACCTACCAGGGCTTGACCGCGACCGTCCTCAAGCAAGGATCCAACCAGGCCATCCGCTTCTTCGTCATGACCTCCCTCAAGAACTGGTACAAAGGTACGTTGCCCCCGTGCCCCCAGGGCACCCTGGCTGTGCCGCTGGCTCCCTGAGCCCATCTTTGGGAGCCAGGCTTGGGCTTTCCACCAGCAGATCCTCAGCTTCTCGTGGCTCAGCCTCTTGTGACGGAGGAAGGTGAAAGCCAGGGCAAGGGGGTCCCAGCTTGTGGGGTCGAAGCGTCCCAGTGCTAGAGCATCACCTCCACTCCCACCCCGCGCTCCCCAGTGCTGCATGGGCTCTTTGGGGCTGGTACCACTGGGTGGTCCCCTCCAAATGCCCTGGGCCCCCTACTCAGCACAGCACCAGCCCTGACCACGAGCAGCCAGACCTGGGACCTCCCCAGCAAGCTCCCTTGGCGATGTCATGCTTCGTCCCCCACCACCACTCTGCCCTCACCCTCTCCTCCTTTCCAGGGGACAATCCCAACAAGGTCATCAACCCCTTCGTCACGGGGATTTTTGGAGCCCTTGCTGGAGCTGCGAGCGTCTTCGGCAACACCCCCTTGGATGTGGTGAAAACCAGGATGCAGGTACGGCACTGGGGCACGGTGCGGGAGCCTGCCTGTGGTGACCCCCAGGGCTGGGGTCACCCACTGTTGGGGAGCTGTTTTGTGCAGCCCCCCGGGGCAGGCGCCTGATGCTGACAAAGTTTGGGAGATGCCTGGGGATGCTGCCCCCACGCAGCTGGGCTGTGGGGGTGCTGGGAAGTGTTTGCACGGAGGTGGGGACATCCCTGCTGGGTTCAGTGGCCTGCAGCAGCAAAGGGGGATCGGTTCCTCCTGGCGCACCCCACCCTGAAATCCCCCCC